GCTAAGCTAAAATATTTGATGAGTTATCAGCTAAAAAATTATTCCAAAACAAACTACAGTATCCTTTAAACCTGCTCTTGAAGCTGAGAAGAAACCTAGTGGTTTTTATGCTGACAGAACAGTCAAATGACAGAGGGGTTCTATTTCCCTTTTCTCTTCTTCCTTGTGTTCTACCAGCCAAGTCCATGATTATTTCTGCATGAATGTTGCAGCTTCTTTTAACAGTAAACAAAAGTAAATGGAGTCTGAGTGTGCAAAGCCCAAAGACAAATTAAAAAGAATGTTACTTGAATTGACACGGAAAATGGCATTTAGTTGCTGCCCATGGATCCTTCAGAACTGTACAAGGTCCAGATAGAATTGGAAATCACCTGCTTTTTTTCATAACCCGACTGTTACATATTATCTCACCATCCTAAGCCTGAGTTACAGACTCAGAAAAGTACGGCTGTTTGTCAGCCTTTAAAAAGGAGGAAGTGTATCAGAGGGAGGAGGAGTCCTGGTTAAATGGAACTATCCAAGTGAAAGAGCGGTCCCCAACGGGGTAATGTCCCAGGGATTAGTGGGTTGGGAGAACAGAGAGGGGGGTCAAGAAAGGAGAAAGAGAATAAACAGTAAAAGAAAGTGATCCAAAGCTAAAAGTCTGGGAGGGAAACATGCAGTAGAAAAATTCTAAAATCACATGGATAACTAGCTACAGGATGAAATTGAAAAAAGAGGCAATGTAAATTTCTCAAGAAAGAAGCAAAAGAGAAAATTACTTTTGATGGGGTGCAGGCAGGAAACAGAATCATAAATATATTATAAGCAATCAAGAATTCCTTAATATGTCAAGAGAAAGGATAACGATGGTAAAAAAAATAACTGAAGATATTGACAAGAACTAATCCTGGATAAAAGAAGTAAAAGGTGATTGTGGGAGAAAGACACAAAGTTATCTTGTCTTAAAAATAACCTTTTATAACAAAAGATAAAAGAAGGATTATATTAAATAAAAAATAGACAACAAAATATTTGAGATGTACTTCACTGGTTTTACGTAATTATCTAGGAGAGTGAAAGATAAAATATTTATTTACATTTATGACTCAACAGCAAAATATCTTATATTACAGAAGTAGGGAGAAAACCAAAGTTAGACTGTTCCCTGTTCCAAATAATGAAAACCAGCTGTATTCCTTTGGCTCTTTTTCCAGATCAGGGGTCAACAAACTACAACCCTAGGCCAAATCCAGCCCACTGCCTGTTTTTATGAATAAAGTATTATTGGACACAGCTATATGTATTATCTACAGCTACTTTCATGCTACAGCTGCACATTTCAGCAATTGTGACAGAAACCATACAGCCTACCAAGCCTAAAATGTAGCCCTTTATAAAGCTTGCCAAACTCTGTTCTAAATAATAACAGAATTCCCATATGTTTTTATCATCTGACAACTCATTTGTTCTCCAAGTGAAAATAAAGATGCAAATGGAATTCTTACTTTGTACACAGAGTACAGAGCTAAATCTGATATTTGTCACATTGTGAGCAGCGATCCACCCAAACCTTCAGTCAATTCTCCACCTAATCCAATGCAGTGCGGGAGAAGATCATAGGCTTTAAACGATGGCAGACCCAAGTTCAAATCTCACTTACACCACCCCTTAATTGAGCTTGAATTTCTACTACATTAGAATAAAGACTTAAATATAAGCCCTGAAACTATAAAACTCCTAAAAGAAAATATAGAAGAAATGCTTCAAGATGTAGGACTGGGCAAAGATTTTATGAATAAGACCTCAAAAGCACAGGCAACAAAATAAAAAATAAACAATGGGATTATATCAAGCTAAAAAGATTAATAAACAAGAAAGGAAACAATCAATAGAGCAAAATAGACAACCTACAGAATGGGAGATAATATTTGCAAACTATGCATCTGACAAGATTAATATCCAGAATATACAAGGAATGCAAACAATAGTAAAAAATAAAAATATAAATATAAATAAAAACAATCCAATTTAAAAATGGGCTAAGGAGCTGAATAGATATTTCTCAAAAGAAGACATAAATAACCGATGGTTAAATGAAAAATGCTTAACATCACTGATCATCAGAGAAACACAAATCAAAATCACAGTGAGATACCATCTCACCCCAGCTAGACTATTTCAAAAAGACAGAAAATAACAAATGTTGGCAAGAAATCTGTTGGTGGGACTGTAAATTAGTACAGCCATTATGGAAAATTGCATGGAATTTTCTGAAACAACTACAGATAGAACTGCCATATGATCTAGCAATCCCAATACTCGACATATACCACAGGATTGGAAATCATCATGTTCAAGGGATTCCTGCACTCCCATGTTTACTACAGCTCTATTCATAATAGCCAAGATATGGAACCAATCTAAATGTCCATTGACAGATGATTGGATAAAGAAAATGTGTTATACACACACAATGAAATACTACTCAGCCATAAAAAAAGAATGAAATACTGCAATTCGCAGCAACATGGATGAGTTTGGAGAAAATTATGCTACGTGAAATAAGCCAGGCACAGAAAGAGAAATACTGCATGTTCTCGCTGATAAGTGGAAGAAAGAAAGAAACAAACAAGTAATAACAATAAGTTGGACATTCAGAAGGACAGAACAGAATTGTGGTGATATAGTTTGGATATGTTTGTCTTCCCAAAGCTCGTGTTGAAACGTAATCCCCACTGAGACAGTGTTAAGAGAGTGGGAAATCCTATTATGGTAATTAAAAGGTGGACATGAAGAGGTGATTAGATTGTGAGGACTAAGCCTTTGTGAATAGATTGCTCCACTCATGGAGTAATGGGCATGATTCTGATGGCTTTAAAAGGAGAGCAATTGGGAAGCTTAGTCTTTCTCTGCTCCTGCCTTTTTTGCCATGTGATACCCTGAGTCACTGTAGTCATCACCAGAAAAAGGCCCTCACTAGATGTGTTCCCTGGACTTTGGACTTTCCAGCCTCTGAAACTGTGAGAAATAAATTCTATTTCTTTATACATTACCAATTTCAGGTATTTCTATTATAAGCAACAGAGACTGACTAATATATGTGGTTACTACAGGCAGGAAAGGGAGAGAGGGAGGGAGAATAGTGGGAAGTCAGTTAATGGACTCGTAACAGCTAGATAGGAAAAATAAGTTCTGTGGGTGTACTGTTGAGCTAGGCATCTATAATTAACAATAATTTACTGCATGTTATCAAATGGCTAGAAGAGATCAAATGTCCTTATCACAAAAAAATGATTAAGTTTTATAATGATGAATATGCTAATCACTCTGATCTGATCATCATACATTACATACATGTATTGATATTCAACTCTATACCCTGCAAATATGTATAATCAATGTTTCAATAAAAAAAATTTAAATAAAAAAAATTTCTATTCCACTAATCTGAGATTATACCTCTTTTTCCCACAGTATTTTTGTGAGGATTAAATGAGACAGCGTATATGAAAGTGCTTTGTAAATAGTAAAATAATAATATATATAATATGTTCAACATTATATATAATTATATAATAATAATAGTATATATACAATAACAATAGCAAAATAATAAGGTATTATTAGTGTGTTGACATTTATGAAACTGGTTTAATTTTTCCTCATTATTTTGAGTCAGGTTTTCTTAACATGAAAGAGATCTGCTCTTTTTAATAACTTGGCTTTGTTAAAATTCACTTTATTTCAATACATATTTACCTCCAGCCTGCTATGTGCAAGACACTCATTGGTCCTTCTACTTTTTACATGAAGAAAAATAACTAACAGCAAGTGGACTTGTTCCATTTTAGTTTCAAAGTTTTAAGCAAGGTGTGCATTTAATAGTTCAAAGGGATAGTTAAATTAAAAATGCTTTTGAAACCTGACTCTCATATTACCACTTCTTTTTTCATTTCCAGCACCCATTCTAGATGTAGAGTCAGTTATATTCTCTAAACTTAATCATCAAGTTGGCTAGCCTTTGTTTTTAAAACTAAGGGGAAAGTTCTTTACAAAGGAATGCTTAGGAAGAGCATATGCAACAAAAGAATTTTGACATAAAAAGAAACTTAAAATTTATGGTCTGATGTATATTTGCACTTTCCTGAATGGTTTCACATCCAAAATTTTATTTGATCTTCAGCACAACCATATCCAGCATGTATTTTATCCCGTTCTGCAGAGTAAGACATGGAGGTTCTGGGAAGAAGAGCACCGTGCCCAAGATCACACAGCTGGTAAGCAATGCTTCTGGACCAAACCCTCACCTTCAGGATCCAAGTCAGTGTTCTTTCCTCTCCACCGTGCTTCATGGGGATCACCCCTTCATGATGTGTGTAGCACTTAGAATGCCTTAGCAGCCAGCCAAATCATAGTAGTAATACAGCTGCCATTTATTAAGCATCAATCATGTACTACATATATCTAGGTGTTACACATATATCACAAAGATTAAATAAATTATGTATGCAAAATGCATGGCCTGGGGTTTGGCACATAGTAATTATTCCATCAACAGCAACTATTGGTCTTATTTCTAATTCACACTACTCTGTAATTCATATGTTTTATCTCTATTTTTCAAATGAGGAAAGCAAAGTTGAGAAAAGTTAGGTAACATGTCCAAGATTGCATAATTAGAAAGGGCAAGAACTCAGGATTCTAGCCCAAGTTTAACTGACTCCAGATCCCCTATATCACTGGAATTTTCTCTGATGCTGAAAGTCAAAGAAAGCATATGAAAAAAAATGAGAAGTATGTTATTAAAAATAATGAGAGAGGGCCAGCCTGTGGCTCTCTTGGGAAACTGTCATGTTCATAACACCAAGGCCAAGGGTTCGGATCCCTGTATAAGGATGGCCAGTTAGCTCACTTGGAAGAACATGGTGCTGACAACACCAAGTCAAGGGTTAAGATCCCCTTACCAGTCATCTTTTAAAAAAATAAAAAAAATAATGAGTGAACATTTTTCCTGTTACCTGGATAGGCCAAGCAGGCAAAGGCTGTAAAAAGTTAGATGCATAAGGGTAGTCCACCATTGCCAGATTCACCCAGGTTTCAGAGATCCAGTCTTTCAATTTTCGAATGTCCTGAGAAGTTAATGGATTGCATAAATGAAGGGCTTCGGTAAGCCACTGCAAACCACCACCTGGGAATAGAATCACATTGTTGGAATCTAAAAAGCACTGGTCAACAGGCTTTACAGATCATTTATTAGTATTTCAATATTTCATGTCATTTTTCCAAAAACATTTTTTTCAACATTCATTAAAATATTTTTAGAGCAACTGGATAATCCCATGATAAACAAGTTGCCTATCCTCACGGAGTTTACCAGAATTAGTATTCTGAAGTATTCGCCTTTTTAAGATACTATAGAAATAAATAAATAAAATATAGAACAATGAGAATGCATAAACTACAACCTAAATAAAACAAATGAAAGTATGTAAAAAACAGCACTTTTGAGCAAAAGATAGCAGGAAAGAAAAAGTACTATGAGGGGTCTCCCAAAAGTTCATGGGAAGATTCATATTATCTTTTAATTCCATTTTTCCACAAACTTTTTGAAGTACCCCCACATGCTTCAAGAACAAGCAAAATTAATCTATGGTTGTAGAAGTGAGGATAGTGATTAGCCATGTAGGTATAAAGGTAGAGACTGAAGGGGCCACAAAGTTACTGAGAGATGCAGATGATGTTGTTTCTTGATCTGGATGCTAACTACACTATATACTCGCTTTGTGAAAATTCATCAAGCTATGCATTTTGATTTATGTAGTTATCTATATGTATGTTTGCCTTGGATTGAGTGTCCTCCCAAAATTTGACCCCCACTGTGACAGTGTTAAGAAGGTGGGAAATCCTATTATAGTAGTTGAAGGTTGGGGCCTTGAAGAGGTGATTACATTGCAGGACCATGCTGTAGTGAACAGACTTAAAATAGTCGTCATGGGCACTGTTTGGAGGGCTTTAAAATGACAGTGAATGAGGAGGTTAGTCTCTCTCTGCTCTGCTATTTTCTGCCATGTGATGCCCCTGGGTCACTGTTGCCACCACCGAGACCCTCACCAGATGTGTTCCCTGGACTGTGGACTTCTCAGCCCCAGAAACTGGAAGCAATAAATTTCACTTTCTTTATAGATTACCCCCTTCCAGATATTTTATTATAAGCATCAGAAACAGACTAAGACAATGTTATACTTTAATAAAACATTTACTTAGAAAGTAGGAAGTGTTAAGTTTAACAAATGAAAGGTTAAAAGTAAAAAAACCTCATTCCATTCTCTTGATTAAAGCTTACCAGTATTTGAGAGACGATTAATGGCATCCCAGGACTTGCGGATGCTCTCTGAACAATTTGGACCACTTTTCCTAAAATCTGTAGTTACAATCTTCATAAATACACTACAAGGTACCAAATCCTCAAATTGCCATATAGGGGCAGAAGCTGCAAGAGCTCTAAATGGTAAAGAAAACAGAAAGGAGAAAAGAAAAAAAATGCATAACTCATCTAACACAAGTTTTAAAATGGTAACCAAGATTGAACAAAAATGGTGAGAAAAATAATCAGACAGAAACTAGAAATCTCAATACGATAGAATGGAGCATGTTGTACCCAAAACAAATCTCTAAGTCTGCCTTGACAATCACTAAGAAGTGCTCATGTCTAATAAATGTACTTACCCAACTACCATATGAGGATATTTCATCCTAAACCAGGCTGCAAGCATGCCACCATAAGAGCCCCCTATGGCAATGACAGGTTGATTTTCAGCTCCTGGGATTGTTCTTTTCAAGTGTTTGATTAACTCTGCAAAATCAGCCAGAGCTTGTTCTGATGTCAGAAAATTCAAGCGCCTGGAATCCTAAAAAAAAAATAACAAAGAACATGGGTATAAATATATACATAATAGCAGCTTAGGCATAGCATAGATCCAGAAAAAGAGCCAGAGTCAGATAAGCTTTTCTCCAAATAGAATTTCTAAGCAATGGAGCTAAACTGCCCAGTGTTAAAGCAATAGCTGTGCTGATTTAAACAACTCATGAAAAAATGATTTTAACTTTGTAGAAGAACATATTCTGAATTCAAATGTAATTACCATTAAATAGTATTTCCCAAAAATCTTGTTGAAGTTGTAGAAACAATAGAAATAAACTATAAATAACATTTAACAGCATATATGACAGAATATAAAACTAAGCTTAACGGACAACTCATAACTTTTATTTCAAATCTTGACACATTTAAAATGTTTACCATATAAGCAAAGATAAACTAAATCCTGTGGACAATTGAGGTAAGAATTATCAGTAAAAATAAAGCTTAACCTTCTTTATCAGAGAGATTATGTACACTAACAACAGAAACACACTAGTCTCCCTATTGTAAACAACTATAAAATTGAAAGGCAAAAGAACAACAATTCTATTTTCAGGCCCTAGAAAACAGTCAACACAAGACAATGATCCCTGAGAGAAGGAAAATTCATGAAGTAAGTTCCATGGTTGTCTAGCTCTCTTTGTGAGAACAATTTCCCAACCACAGTGTAGGAAGGTGAAGCTCAAAAAGAGTCCTCCTGAGCTGAGGGGGCCAAAAGCTTTCGTGAAAATATGTGTGCAAATTCTTCACACTCCTTCCTTTAAAAGGTGAAGCCCAATTCCATTGCCTTTGAACTTGGGCTGAACTTAATGACTTGTTCCTAATGAACAGAATGTGGCAGAAGTGACGATATGTAACTACCAATGTTAGGTAATAAAAACTAAAAACTTCTGCACAATCAACAGAGTGAAAAGACAACCTACAGAATGGAAGAAAATATTTGCAAACTATAAATCCAACAAGGGATTAATATCCAGAATATATAAGAAACTCAAACAACATCACAAAAAAAAAAAAAAAAAAGAATCCAGTTAAAAAATGGGCAAAGAAGCTCAACAGACATTTTTCAAAGGAAGTCATACAAGTTGCTAACAAGGACATGAAAAAATGTTAAACATCACTAATCACCAGAGAAATGCAAATCAAAACCACACTGAGATCATCTCACCCCAGTTAGATTGGCTATTATCAAAAAGACTGAGAATAAGAAATGCTGGCAAGGATATGATGAAAAAGAAACTTTTCCACACTGTGGGTGGGACTGTAAATTAGTACAGACATAATGTAAAACAGTATGGAGGTTTCTCAAACAACTACAGATAGAACTACCATATGATCCAGCCATCCCACTTCTAGGTATATACCCAAAGGAATGGAAATTATCAAGTTGAAGAGATACCTGCACTACCATGTTCACCACAGCTCTATTTACAATAGCCAAGAGTTGGAACCAACCTAAACATCCATGATGACTGGATAAGAAAAATGTGGTATATGCACACAATGGAATACTACTCAGCTATAAAAAAGAATGAAATTCTGCCACTCTCAGCTACATAACTGAGTTTGGAGAAAATTATGTTAAGTGAAATAGGCCAGGCACAGAAAGAGAAATACCACTTCATGTTCTCACTCATAAGTGGGAGCTAGGAAGGAAGGAAAAAAGGAAGGAAGGAAGGACAGGCCACAATAATATATTGAACTTTCAGAGGGAGAGAACAGACCTATTGTTACAAGAGGTGGGAAAGGGGGAGGAAGAGGGGGGCTAGGGAGAAATCGGGTAAGGAACACAAAGAATAATCATAATTTGTAATAATGAACATCCTAATAATATTGATTTGATCATTACATATTCTGCACAAATACGGATAGTCAAAAATGTGTGTAATCAATTATGTTTCAACAACAACAACAAAATACTATTTAAAAAGCCAAAACCCCCCCCAAATTAAAGTTAAATAAAGACATGTCAAATAAAAATAAATAAGTAAATAAAAGAATGGTTAAATAATCTATGTTAAAATAAACACAACTGGAGGGATATTTTTCAGGAATAAAAGAATGAGGAAAATCACAAAAAACAACAAAACAAAACAAGCAGCCTAGAAAATGACTGACCTTAAGTTCTTCTAGCTGAGAGTTCCCCAAAAGCATGATATGTGTATGCTGGTGGTATGCAAGATGATCTTAGGTAGAGTGCAAACATTTTTAATGTAACATTTATTATTTTTATTTTAATGTAATTTAGAAAAAAATAATTAGTATATAAAGTCTTTGGTTAAGATAATTCTAAGTTTAAAAAGTGAATTGTTTATAGAAAAATGTTAAGTAAACAATAGTACAAATGGCAAATTAATATAGCCAGAATCACAGGGTAGCGCACAAGTAACTCAGTTGAGAAAAAAGTGTCCTGGTTTATCAGGTGCAGAATCTACGGATGAGGCCAAAGCTCCTTGTGAGAACAGAAAAGGCTGGAAGGGAATCCAAGTGGCCAGTTGGCCTCTGAATCATAGAGCTCATTTGTCCTTATTTTATTAATTATATTTTATTGAAAAACACATTAGACAAATACTATGTACTCATTATATTTTTCCAGTGGCAGGCCCAACAATGTAAGTGTATAGTTTATAAAGCAAAATTGTTTACTGACATATTTGGAACAATGAAACGCTCCCTGCACTGTCTCTACAGCCATAGAATAAGATTTACCTGGCTGAGTTAAAAACTTTTAACATTAGAAATGATAATAATATGGCAAAAAAAAAAAGCCTCTATCTGTTCAAATTATATATAAAAAGGAATGTTTGAGTATAAATTATTGAGATTTTAGGCAGTTCAAATTAAAGGTATCTCACAGTGGGGCATGTAATTAGAAAATGTTCTAACCTTAAAAAAAAATCTTCTAAACTTAAAAGTAAAAAGTATGCTTAACTTGAGTCTGCCTAGTCAGCTCAGATGGTTACAGCACAGTGTTATAACACCAAGGTCAAATGTTCAGATCCCCATACCAGTCAGCCGCCAAAAAAACGCACAAAAACAAAAAGTATACTTACCTTGAATGAGCTGGCACCAAATGGTAGGGATTCTCCATAGTATCGATGTTCAGCAAACACCAACATAGCGCTCAGTTCCTCAGCCACATCCCACATAAACCCCTAGGAAAAGTTTACAAAGTCACGAGAGAAAATCAGGACGTGAAATAAGTCACTGACCCTTTTTGCAAACCATATGAAATAGATGTTAAACCAGACCAAAAAGCACTCTCTGAAAAGTTGCACAATTTATGCTTGTTCTACAAATAAATGGCACAATTGCTGTTTCACTGTTGCACATCAATCTCACACTATATTAATCAAAAATCAACTCAGGTTGCTCATCCACTAGTCACTACAACTCTTCTTATCCTGACACTTTCACCCTAGAATCAAACATTATGTCTAAAATAGTCTTCAAATTGCACTGTGTGCCAGATATTCTACGGAAGAGCTGAAGATATCTAGGTTAGCCAGCTACTCATAGGCATTTGCAACATAAGAGAGAAAACAGAAGAAATAATCCCTTGGGATTTTATATTAATCTTATTTATTGGAAAACAAATAATAGCTAACAACTAATATTAACTGAGTGCTTACAATGTGTCAGGCACTATTCTAAACACTTTGTAAGCATTAATTCACCTAATTATCACAACAATGTAAGAGACAGGCACTTTGATTATCTCCATTTTATAGACAAAGACAGTGAGTCACAAGAGTTTAAATATCCTTCCACATTCACACAACTAGTAAATGGCAGAGCCAAGTTTCAAACACAGGCTGTCTGGCTCCAGAGCACAATCATCAAGTGCTGTCAGACCTACTTGCTCCAACACCTATGGCTGTTCATTAATCAATCATCGCTTTTTTTCACTTACCTCAGTTGTGGCCTAAAAATCCTACTGAACAAAGCATTCTAGGCAGTCAACATCAACCAATTAGATTTAAATTTAGCACAGATTAAAACTATTAGTCATTCCTAGTGCACATTGTTGCTTTTTAATGAGTTGCTACTCCCTAACAAGGACAAAGAACCTCAAAATGTTTTTGTTTTGATCAATAAATGAACAATTAGAAGAGCTGCATGCATATGAGGATGAAGAATTTAACTTACCTGTGATAGTTTTGATAATCCCCCCCTCCCACCTTCTCTCTTTAAAGACCAATTCATTCCCTGCCATTTATCTACAGATCCTGCTACACCCAACTCAAGCATGCCCTCCACTGAGAGCCCCACCCTGGCAGTGCTGATCACTCCCTCCTCTCAACACCACTGTGCTAGGGATAGAGCTTTATTACTGTGCTGCAATATTTGCTTGCATGTGAGTTTTACTTCACCAGACTGTGTGTGCCTTAAGGATAAGGACCATCCGTCAAAACAAACACTCCTCTCTGGAGTTGACCTCAGGCTTTGAGAGAAAGCAATTTAATTGTACTGATTCACATGCAATAAGTGATTATTTGCCAGCATCTATTTCAGGGGTGTTTTTATCTTTCAAAAGAGGTTCATGTAATATATTATCATTTATTAACATTATTTGCCTGTAAGTCCCTTAATCTTGTTTAGTCTTTATGACAACTCTATGAACTAGATGTTATTACTGTGCCCATTTAACAGATGAGAAAACTGAGGTACAGAATAAGAAACTTGCCCAGAGTCACACAGCAAAGTATTAAAACCAAAATTCAAACCTCATCAGTCTGGTTGAAGTCTTCACTCTTGACCACTCTGCTACACTGACTCTAAATAAATGAATGTCCAGAAGTGAATGTGCAATTGGAACATTTTAACATGTAAAGGAAGGTGTCTGGGGCTGGGGAAGGGCCAGGATCTGCTCTTCTAGGATCTGCCTCTAGTCAGTTCTCTGTAACTGTTCCTACACTGAGTATCCCCTTCCTTTCTACCACTTCTGAGAACAGAGATTCCCTGGCAAGCCTTAAGTTCTGCCACAATGCCTGTCAGAGCAGTGGGGTCTGGTGAACGCAGGAACAGCTATCTGCCTATAAGAAAACAGAAAGGAGCTGGGAAAATCACTGGACAGGAGAAGTTCCCCTGTTGCCTTGGAATAAAAGAGAAACCACACATGGAAAAGAAAAGAGACAAGGCACCTTCTGCTGTTTCACCAAATAACAGAGCAGGCATCTAAAAGAAAGGAAGTACTGATTTCATTTGTCTCTGACCTAAAAAAAGTAGACATCCTAGGATTTAATTTCTAAGGGAATTATTTTGTTTCGACTAACACAGAGATGTGAAGAATGCAGTAACAGCTTAATTGGATTCATATCTTTACTTTCAAGTCAGTTCAACAAACATTTCCTGAGGCCTCCTGAACAATACCAGGCACCATGCCAGACATTAGCATTGGAGATAATATGATTCAGTCCCCACTTTAAGACTAGCTTTTTGGTAGAAAATTGACATTTTTCAGTCTCACCACTGAAAAAGAGAATGTCTTCTTTTCGTGTATACTTTTAAATTAAGGAGGTTTTTTTAAGGAATTTAGGTATTATTATAAAAGGTGATAGGAAATATAGTCAGGGAAGCAAGCTGACAAGCTATACTATTTTTAACCCTTACAAGCACATATAAGAAAAATGGCAGAACAAGAAAACTAAACTAAAAGATAGCTACTATTTTACCTTAGTCCATTCCTATTTGACAGCAAAACCTGTATACTTTTTCTTTTGCATTGGCTTTGTTTAGATTTTATTCATTCATTCAACAAATATTTATTAAACACCTATTGTATGCCTAATACAGTCCTAGATTCTGAGAATATAATACTGAACAAACTACAAAAATTCCTGCTCTTTCCTGACCATAATCAAAACAAACTATATGTAATAACACTCCTATGCCCACTTCCCTCATATCCTTGTTCATTATAGAAATAAGCAGGGATTAAAACAAAACAAAACAAAAACAAAACCTTTTGCAACTGAATTTTTCCAAAAATAGTATTTCATTCTCTTCACTTGTAATTCTTTAAGGCTGTAATTCTTTGGTCATATACTCGTATGCTGCAAAACATTTTTTCCAGTTTATCCTAATAAAAGGCAAATTGAGCACTGAAATGTCACAAATCTTCACATACCGTATTATTGCAAAACCAGGTAATGTCCCCTTCATTACCAGTGTAGAAAAGTATTGATCCACCATTTTCCTTCCAGTATTTATCAGCTATTAGGTACCGCTGTTTAAAAGTTTTCACATTATTAAATCCAAAATGATCAACCTATGATAAAAACAAAACAGATAAGACATATTTCAAAGAAAAGTAATTACATAAAAGTAGTTAAATTAATTCTTCCATTAAAATCAACCTATATTATGAAAATAAGAAATTTTAAACTTCATTTTTTTTTTTTTTGTCCTTTTTGAGACCGGCCACACTGTGCTCAGCCAGTGAGCACTGTGAGCGCACCGGTCATCCCTATATAGGATCCAAACCTGTGGTGGGAGCGCTGCTGCACTCCCAGCGCCACACTCTCCCGAGTGCACCACAGGCTCGGCCCTAAACTTCATTTTTTAATTGCAACATTAATATTATTTTGAAATTGTTTTCTTTCTATTGTAAGATAAAGCAATGTTTGTTATTGGTAGTCAAAATTTTCAATGGAAAAGACAAGATACATTATAAAATCAAGTAGCTACTTAAAACATTAAATTGAAAATAGAAATATGAATCCCTTTTTTCTCATTTATTTTTTTAATTGACAAATAAAAATTGTATGTATTTATGGTGTAGAACATGATGCTTTGTAATTGTGAATTGGCATTGTGAAATGGCTAAATCAAGCTAATCAACATGCATTAGCTCACATATTTATGTTTTGTAGTGAGAACACTTAAAATCTACTCTCATTACAATACATCCCATTATTTTTCAAAATAGAGATACCCCTTATTATCTGAATGGACTGGATTGAATTATGTCCCCCCCCAAACTCAATGAATCTTGAATTGTGTACCCCAAGTTTTATGTATTAGAAACTTAGCCCCCACTGTGACTGTTAAGAGGATGGGAAATCCTATTATGGTAAGTGAAAACTGGAGCCTTGAGGGGGTGATTAGATTGTAGGACCATGCAGTACTGAATGGATTAAAAAGGGTGGTTATAGACATGGTTCTGAGTCCTTTAAAAGAAGAGTCGAGTCGGTCTCGCTCTCTCTCTGCTCTCTCTGCTTCCACCATCTTGCAATGTGAGACCCCTGAGTCACTGTCACTACTACCAGATGGACTTTGGACTTCCCAGCCTCAGAAACTGTAAGCAATGAATTTTGTTTTTCTTTATAAATCACCCAGTTTCAGTTATTTCATTATAAGCAAGAAAAATGGACTAATACACTGAATTTTCATTATCCAAACTTTCAATATCAAAATTCAAGAACTAAACAGACCACTGAAAAGGTCTATAAACATTGTCATCCCAGTACACAATAGACATTACAAGTGCCAGGATGTGGGTGTCTAATAAGATTCCTACCAAAAGAAATGAGGGCTTGTTAGTAAAGTGGCTAATTGGCATTTGGGACAAGGAAGCTGTGAGATAAACTCACACATTTTGCTGTACAAGGAAGCAAGGAAGTGCTAAAAAATTAACGGAGTTGTATTTAACAAATAGAAGGCTAACATTTCAATAAACTGAATATAAAACAAACAGCATAAAAAGAATAATGATTGTACTTGATTAAAACATTCATTCAATTCATGAAAATCCATTAGTCTGTAAGGATATTTAAAAAAAAAAGCAAGGAAAAAATTCATTTGCCATCATTTAAAATGTCCATTAAATCAATTCCTTACTTTGAAATTGGAAATTAAAAAGTAAAAATTCAGCATTTAATCTGCCTTTCCAACAGAATTATTTCAGGGTACCAGATAGTCCCAATTGATGAACAAGAACTCTGTTAGTCAAATGTTAGCTAATGCGGAAGAAATGGCAGAATTAGAAAAATGATAGTTATGCAAAGTTACTGATTCAGGCAAGAATTACCAGTTGGGGTGAAAAGCAATAGGAGAATGGATAATATAAAAATGAACATTCAGGGCCAGCCCATGGCTCACTCGGGAGAGTGCGGTGCTGATAACACCAAGGCCCCGGGTTCGGATCCCATATAGGGATGGCCAGTTCGCTCACTGGCTGAGCGTGGTGCTGACAACACCAAGTCAAGGGTTGAGATCCCCTTACCGGTCATCTTTTTATAAAAAAATAAAAAATAAAAATAAATAAAAATAAAAATGAACATTCATGTTGTATCAAAGTAATATCATAGAGGATACTCTGTCACAAAGGGAAAATGTAACTTCACAATTGAAGGATCAGGCTGTCATCACCTGAATCTAGTGATCAATGTTAGCATCATTAATGGTGGGGCAGGCAGGTATTTATATATCTCCTCTTGTGGCACAATATGAAGCGTATATCACATATGATGTATCTTGCCAAAAATGTTCAAGTTGTATCTTATTTCAGCCTTTAGATCTAATTTCCAGGTTCTGGCAAATACAGAAGGTAGAAGAACAAGTTGACATTCTGAAGAGGCAATCAGACAAATCTGAAGGTGGGATGTTTTACAAGACAATGAAAAAACAACAGTTTTAGATTAAATGAATTTCACAGAACATAATAACCAGAAGCAATGCATGATCCTGGATTGGATCCTACTTTCAATAAACAAGATATAAATAACAATCTAGGGACAACTGGGTTAATTTTAATATAAATCAGGTATTAGATGATACTAAAGACTTGTTAATTTAGTTAGGAGTGACCATATTATTTTGGCTACATCAGAAAATTTTAAAAATTTTTTACAGATGTACACAGAAGGATTTGAAGATAGGACATCATGCCATCTGTAATTTACTTAAATACTTCAGCAGAAAAAAAGTGAATTTAAGAAAAGTTTAATCTACATTGAAAGAGACAAACACAAGTGTGAGGAAAGTGGAGACAGACTGGTCAGGCTCCCTCACTTCATATTCAGCTGAACATAACCCAGCATGTCTGTTGTAAATATGTTAACTGTGCATGTGTGCCCAGGTGTTCCTTGGTTATCTGATTCGCACCCAGCTGTTCCTTGGTTATTTGACTCACACCCACGTATTCCATGGTTATCTGACTCTTGTATAAAAGACAATGGCTCTGGTCCACTGGGGGACTGAGCTGGCATCTGAATAAAGCATGTCAATCTTGCTATCAGCTACCAGGATTTTTTCAGTTACCTAGCTTGCGACCTGCATATGAGGGTCTATGACCCAGTCAGCCCGACACTGGGTTTGAAGGGTCTGTGACTCAGCCCAACAAGAAGATACTGAGATTTTGCAAGACAGATAATATAAAACATGTCAAAACAAAAGAACAGCAGGGTTTGCTAGACAGTTAGAGGACAGCCTTATAACACCAAGTTTTCTGTTTCTGTTGCTTGTAACAAAATACCTGGAACTGGGTAGTTTATAAGAAAATGAAATTTATTGCTTACAGTTTTAGAGGCTGGGAAGTTCAAATTCCAAGGAACACAGACACGAAATAGCTCCTCCTGCACTCTCCTTTTAAAGCCTTAATCCATTCACTACTGCATGGTCCTACAATCTAATCACCTTTTCAAGGCCCCACCTTTCAATTACCACAATAGGATTTCCCACCCTCTTAATGCTGTCACAGTGGGGGTCAATTTGGGGGACACTCAATCAAGTCAAGAGTTTGGATTCCCATACAGGACAGCTGCCAAAAAAAAAAAAAAAATGACAAAACAATTTTAAGCTTCAGTTGAACTTTAAATATACATATTTTATATTTAAGGGTTTTTACCCTTTGAGATTTAACTCACCATTTTAAAATATAATTATCAAATCCTATAACATGGTAAGATTCCTATGCAACTATCAGAATTTACAGTTACCCCACCATACAGAGCCTCCCTGAGACTTTGGGATGATGGCAGCTGAATTAATTCCTTAGTGCTTTGGAGGGACAGGAATGAGAATTCAGCATCTGGTCTGGAGCAGACTATAGGCTCTTCTGGTGCCGTCCCAGCCTCCCTGGGGCAGGGATCAGCTCTGACCTAAACCAGAACCTGCAAGACTTCCCTAGGTCATTCTAACACGGGACTCCCTGCCCCCAGCTCCATGTACACACACACACGCACACTCTTCACATTCATACCACAAGTCCCAAAATGCAAGTGTCTCAAAACTAAACCGAACTGTATACTTCCTGATATCTATGATTGTAAATCTAATGGCTAATGTCAGAATATGCCAATGTAGCCAATTGTAAAGCTACACCAGTTGTTGAGTTAGGCAAATCATAATTAAAGCCAAAATGTTTCGTTATTTTAGTTATACTAAGTTTCCATTTATATTGTCAGGGCTAGGGCTCAGACCTTTCAAACCCATTGTACAGACTAGGCCACCAGACCCCTCACACTCAGGTCCACGCTAGGAAATTGGGGAAAGATCTTGGCAGCCGTTGGCAGATGACACAAGCTCAGTTCTCGGCAAGGGCAGCAGCAGCTTACAGGTCCAGAAGCTGTGGTGGGCTCTCGGATCATCCTGGAGGCACTGGCAACAACAGCCTCCAGCAGCAGTAGCGGCCTCCCCAAGCCCCCCAGGCATCCCAGGGATGGGGTTGCAGTGAGGATCTGAGCCACTCATCCTTTATACATAAGTCTATAACCCAGAACACCTGGATGCACATGCGCCATTACATGAGACAATAACCAAGGAACACTTGGGCGCACGTGCCTATTTACATCAAATGCTCAGCAAGATTCCGAACATGTGAGGGACCCTGACCATTTTCCTATATTTTCCCAACAATGATCATCACCATATGTAGTCCTAAAATATAAGTTATTCTAATCTAAAGCCTACTTTTCATGAAAATAAACAGTTTATGTGGACCGGATAATGTCCATGTGCTATAAACCTCTCCCATCACATATGTTAATTTACTCAATCACTCATTCAAAAGGCTTCTGTTGAACTATTCTGGACCAAGTACTGAGCTAAGCAATGGAATAAAGATTGAACAGGAGAAATGGATGATCTGTTTCAACAAGGGAGGAAAGACTGGCTGTACTGCACTTAAAGAAAT